ACACACACACACACACACACACACACACACATTGTGTCAAAGCAACTTTACAGTGTTAAACAGGAAACAGGGTATGTACTTAAGTAGATAAGAACATGCAGGATATACTTATGTATTTACTCAGGGTATGTACTTATTTTGTCACAAGTTGTCATGTATTTTTAATCTGATATTTTTTACATCTTTGCTGTTTATTAATTGGTTTACTGTTTAAATTGTGCCAGAAAACCTATAATAAGGTTCCATTGTCACAAATTACCCCATATAGTGTGAAAAGGTCAACATGAGTTCAATAAACAGTATCTTTTTTTCTTGCTTTTTATGAAGCTTTTTCCCCCCTTGCTTTTTTGTAGCCAAGACTCTAAGATATGTGTCTGTACAGAAACAGGCTTTCAAAAATAAACCTACACTGACAAATATTCACTGAACTAAAAAGTGTGACAACTAGCCCCAGGCTCTCCCAACAGTGAATATTTTAAGTGTATTTATATATAGTTATTTTTATCAAGATCGTCATAGCTATCAAAAATGTGTATTAAAGTGTGGGTGTGACCAGCTCGACAGTGCAAGTTTAACCACATCAGACATTTCTACAAATGGAATATCATCATTCGCTAACTGTCATTTACATACCCCGTGAACCCCTTTTTTGTCTGTCTTACCAAAACTCTCTTATTCAAAGCTAATTATCTCTAAGTAACAATGAAAGTGTCAGCGCACCATGTAGAGCCAGCGCATTCGAGAGGGTCTTAAAACCCCTCACTCACCTTTATGGCATATTAAATGTTGGCTTTGACTCAGTGTTGTATTAAAATCACAGCGTGTGCCTTCAAACAATTAATTTTACGAGTATTACATTGAGCTAATGAGCTTTAAACAGTGCTGTTGACTTTATTGTGGGTGTAAAGTGACTGGTTGGCTTTGTACTATTTTTTTAGCTGTTAGAAATCTAAATTGCTCTCAATTTGAAAAAATGCACCATGCAAGCCTATATTAAATACAATATGCAGCTGATTTATTAACAATTATGAGTCCATGCAAAGAGAAAACACATGCAACATGAACACACATGAGAGCTAACAAGTGAGGAACACACCAAACATGGAGACAACACTATGGTCGTAAAGAATTTGAGATTCATTGATTTTGAAGATTTTATTTTTAATTTGAACATCATGTTTCAGTCAAATTACAGTACAATCATAGTGCGCTAGTTACAGAAGTGCACATTTGACCATGTAAAGCACAGCACAGGACAGCGATGACACAAGAGAACACCAGAACAAAAGACACACAACACATCACGATTTATAATCTCTACTCCATCATCCAACATAAATAACTGACTGTAATGTTAAAAAAAATCAAGGTGAAATGGGATGCTGGAACTGATTAATTAAATAACACTCATGCAGAGCTTTGTGTCAAATTAGATGAATATTCATTGCAATAAATACTTGATCAAAAGGAAAGAAAAAGAGAAAGATCACGGTTTAATGGGAACCATGACTTCTATATTATTAACTGAGCTTTATGACTTTGCCAATGCGATGGTGTAGCTGCATAAATACACTGCAGGGCTCAACAATTACGATGGCCTGAGGCCGGTGTGAGAGCTTCGGGGCAGTCGACGGGACTGTCACTTAACTTTTGGGTCATGTATTCTGTGATGCATTCAACAATATTCCTGCCAATTTTGCTGAAATACATCAAAAGTGTAAAGCGCTGTAGCTGTTAAAATTGAGAGTGATTTGTGAAAGTCTTAAGACACACCAGTTAGAATGTGTTGACGATTTCAAACAAATCACGGTATGCCATAATTTTCAAGTGTGTTTATGAATTTATAGCTGTCAATGGAGTTGTAATGGTATGTCTGTATAATTTCTGCTATTATTGCTTTAAAATGTAATAAATAATAAAATTATTAATTATTTAATAAATAAAATGAATAATTTAACTTGTTTAATGCAAATATAAGACTTTACTATTAAAAGTTTGGGGTCAGTAAGATTTTTTAATATTTGTGAAAAGTCTCTAACGCTCACAAAGATGCATTTATTTTGGGTAAAAAAACAGTAAAATTGTGAAATATTATTACAAATTAAAATAACTGTTTTCTATGTGAATATACTGTAAAATGTAATTTATTCTTATGATCAAAGCTGTATTTTCAGCATCATAATCCCAGCAACAAGAACAATCCTCTGATGAGCAATTTCTTTCCCTTTTTTTTTTTTTTTTTTTAATTGTCAACAGATGATGTCAGATACAGGTCTTGTTGTCAAGACAATCTTAATCTTCACTAACTTCTTCCAGATCCTCATACAATGTATTTTACCCATTGTCCAAACTGACCTCTTGCCGAGGGCCAAATGTGAGTAAAAATGCATTTGGTAAGTAAAAACACTACTGTTCACAGGCAAGATTTTAAAAAAGATTTTCGGCATTTAAACACAAGCCTCTTTTGTTCACTAGGGCTGCATCTACTTAATCAAATACATTAAAAACTATTATTGCTTATAGACATAATCAATTATTAAATAGAAAGCTGAATTTTCAGCATCATTACTCCAGTCTTCAGTGTCACATGATTTTTCAGAAATCATTCTAATGTGCTGATAATTTAAAATTCAAAATTTGGGGTCAGTATGACTTTTTTTTTTTTTTTTTGCTCACAAAAGCTGGAATTACCCCAGTCAAAAACAGTTGTGCTACTTAATTTTAAGGAAACCATGCATGTTATTTTTCAAGATTCTTTGATGAAGAGAAAGTTCAAAAGAACAGCATTTATTTGAAATAGGAATCTTTTGGAACAATATAAATGTCTTTCCTGTCACTTTAATGCATCCTATTTATTTAGAAAAGAAATGAATGCTTGAAATACTGGAAATATTGGAAATACAGTAAAAAATAATGGTAGGGCAAGTTCAAATCAGAACTACCGAAGGGGCCAGCAGAAAAAAGTAATAATTTTGATCCCTGCAATGCATCAGATACAGAATAGCGTGACTGAAAACATCAGAGAGAGAGAGAGAGAGAGAGAGAAAATAAATTATAAGAAATCACAACTCTTTAAAAAAACAAACATGCAAACTGAAATGCATGCTAGTTAGCAAAAAAGAAAAAAAAGTAAGACATCATATCATGTACTAATACAACACGTCACATCCCTGTGTAATATATTGCATGTGTAGTTTCATCTAGGAAGGTTTGTGAGGTGTGTTAAAGATCCACACCCAGAGCTGTACCTCAAACAAACACATACAACATCTATACACACATACAAACACACAGCATGTTACAGGTCTCTCACAGAGTTCAGCTCTCCGTGAAACATACTGAGGATGAATAAGAAGACAGACAGCAAGAGTGTAATGAACAGGGTTAACATACCCAGACTGGAGTTTCCCCTGACTATAGTTATGCTTCTCTCATAGCCACTTGAGGGGATGGAGACGTGTTTGGCGTCAGCCTCCATCGTGCTGTTCTGAGAGTGGGAATTTGCCTAGAACACAAACAGAGAAAGCATCATCAGGCATCTTTATTCAGTGAAATGGCCTATTTTCTTCGCATATGCGGGAAATGGAAAGCAAAAAGGATCTCTGGATCTGCTAAGAGCCCCTTTAAACATCTGTCCTGGAGCAATGCTTCATTTCCAGTGCTGAGAGTGTTTATTTAGCACACAGGCATTCAGCTCTCGAGAAACATCCCAGGCGAGTCGGTGCCAGTGAATGTGTGACTGAATGACATTCACAGCAACAAGAACAATCCTCTGATGTCATTAAAAAATTAATTTATATAACTTGAAATGTTAAACATTCATTAGAAATGAACGTTAACCCAAATTAATAAATATAATAAAAGCATTGTCATGTCAGCTTTTGAATCTTACTGTAAAGCATTTCCAAGAATACTGATAGTGTCACGGTCACGGTGTGTGGAGGCAGGCAGGACGACATCAGACACACTCTCACACACTCACTCACACTCACACTCGCTCACACTCACACGCACACTCGCTCGCACACACTCACACTCTCACACACACTCACTCAGACACACTCTCACACACTCACTCACACTCACACTCACTCACACTCACATGCACACTCGCTCGCACACACACACTCTCACACGAGGTGAGCACAATGAGGTGATTAACTAATAATTAGTACGGGCTAAATCAACAAAAGGGGAAGAAACCACAATGAACAGTCCACAGGGGCGTTACAGATAGTTTATTATAAATAATGACTTTTTAGTTTATCTACATCTTATCCCTGCAGATCTCCGTGTGGCGACACACAAGTCGAATGACCTGCACTAATATGCAAGAAACAGGCAGCTTAATTATCCCATTTTTGTGGGAAAAAACGGATTTTATAATAAAAAATACTGCAAAATGAATGATATACTACAAACAATTTGTTCACCATTAAAAAGTTAAAAACAGTCAATAACAAAACGTTCAAATGTGTTCTCAACAAGCCAATCAAGCGGACGAGTGCTGTACACACTGGAGTAAACCAAAACCCTCATGTGAATAAGAGATGATGTCACACAAATCCTGTCAACAAATAGCCTTCCCAGTTAAACCCTGACAGCTAGAATGACCACACTAAATTAGGTCAGTGGAAAAAAAACAAAAAAACACTTTCTCTTTGGCCTACTAACTGCGTGAGTGCAACTAGTTAAAAACAACCACCGTTTGCAAAATCAGCTGCTGCAGAACACCACAAAAGTGTATCATTTTGAAGCAGGAAATCTAAACTTTAGACTGTGCTGTAAACAACCAACTGAGTTTATGCATTATGAGTCCTTGAAAAGCAGTCGGTTCATGTAGCTCAGATGTTACTGTTACTAAACAGATCCCATTAGTATTATAGCAGCTAAAGCAATGTAAAGCTTACCTGCAAAGTGCCGTGCTGGTTGTAATGTTCGGAGTGGCCGCTGACGGTTACATCAGCTCCTGCGTCCTGAGTCTCATTCTTCTGTCAATGACAAAGCTGTATTAAATCTCTTACTCAAAACCCTTGTCCTACTCCTCTCTCACTCGATGGACTCTTAACTTCACAAATGAAGTTCCCAGGACTAGCTAAAGCGGATTTCAGAGCCGTGGGACGCATAAAAACAAACGCACCACTTGTTTTAGGAGGCTGGTGTTAGAATTCAAGAGACATTAATTATTAAAAGATTCCAGTAACCAGAGACTCATGAGCCACAGTTACTGAGTTCACAACAAAGACCACCATCAGACTGAAGCAGATCTACACTAATAATAACAGAGCTCAGGCCAAAAACACTGGACTGACTTGGAATGTACAAGATGACATAGGCAATGCAATGATATCTCAGTCTAAACGATACATAATAGTGTGCTATGAGCATGTTGAATCTGGGAAATTAAACAATAAAACAAAACACAATTTTAATTGTCTGCTATCAATGCCCACCAGTGCATACACATGCATTGTAGGAAAATTCGGTCATGTTTGCTTTAATTTTCTTGAACAATGAACAAAAGCAATTTCTGTCAAATCTCAAATCACCATTCATTCTATGGTGGAGGTGATGATGGAAATGATTTCTTAAATATTTTTAGAATAAAATGGCTGAATCGCTTGTCTTGCGAAGGGGAATTTCATTTTAACTGTATGTATTCTAAACACACACAAATAAATACAATTTCATATTTTTGCAGTAATCACAGCTTGAGTGGAAAAATAACAAAGAAATATTTTGATCTCAAGTTCAAATATTTAACTTGTTTTTCTTCACATACAAATACATTTACTTATACAATATATATATATATATAAGTATATATTATATAAGTATACAATAAAAAAGTATACTAAAAGTAAACTAACTTTCTAACTATCTAAAACTAGCATTATTATTATAAACCTGTTATGGTAAAATTGTAGGCTGTGATGGACATGACTCACAAATGAGTTACAGATATATTTTTTGTAAAAAGAAAATCACAAAAATCACAAAAATCACACAATACATATTAAATACTTATTTAATATTGTATTCCACTTTTTGTGATCAGTGTTTTAAAAAAACAATAATGTCTCAAATCTATAATCATACACTGCAAGTGTTTTGCATTCATATTTTTAAAGTATAAAGTAATTTAAGTACGGAATTAAGTAAAATCTTCTTAACTAAGTTAAGTAAAATGAACAATAAGAATAAGTACATTTAACTTAGAGTTTATTGAGTACTTTCTACTTACTCATTTGTAGTTTACTCTGCAATACAGTACATTTGACTCAGTCTTTGTTTGTAAATTTTACTCAAGCAATGTAACACTGAATGAAGTCATGCTATTAAAGCATTAAAGTTCACTTCTAAACATTTAAGTAGTTAATGAGGTACCTAACCAAACACAAAGACGTCAATACACAATGACGGTAACAATCAGCAGATCGTTTTTGAGTATGAATGGGTCATTTTGAATAGAAGGTGTCATAAACCAAACAACAAAAGCAACCATAACACAGTGTAAATACAACTTGAAAACAGTGAAAAATACAAGAAGTAATTATTCATGCCCCAGTGCATGATGGGAACACCAGTATCAGAAAGATGAGTAGGTTTTACTTAATTTTATAACTTTAATATTTAAAGAATCCTTGTAAACAGTATTAATTAGAGTATTAATATATAATTCTTGCCTGAACTAAATTAATGTAGAAATTACATTTGTTTTTTTGTAGTATGTACTTCACCACAGAATCATTTCTATCAGTGTATTTAAAAAAATAATAATTTTTTTTTGTTTTGATGGATTTGCATGTAATTTGTCTGGGTGAAAGGCTTTTGAAAAATAGCAAAAATACATGATATGGATATGGTCAAATGTTTCCGAGAATAATGAAACCCCTTTGACATTAAAGTGCCTGCAGTTGAAGAAACTGTAGTTTAATATACTTAAGCAGTCAAAGCAGCCATTAGTCACAGATAATTGATATACATGCTTATCATTCTGCAAATTATACACGTCAAAGTGGTGCACATTGAATTCTCTTAAACAAAACTTCCTTGATATTCCACGATGACTTGGATGACTCAGAACCTATATAATATCTCAGATTCTAGATTTCTCCTGCACTGCTCAAGGTTACAGTTGTTGCTGTCTGTCTTGTGAATGGAGCTGATTGTGAAGCGAACAGAGAAACTTACCGTTAAGGGTTTGGTGACTCCGATGCGTACGATGCCCAAAGCAGTGCTCTTCAGGACGCGAACGGCCTGATCCAGACTCACGTGGCTCAAGTCAGTCCCGTTCACGAACATCAGCCGGTCGCCTGGCAACAAGCGGCCATCTCTTTCTGCCAAACCGCCTGCTACAAGAGAGCGGATCACTATCACAGTATGCCCTGGGTTCATGGGGTCCTGAGAGAGTTTCAGCAAGTGACAGCGCAAGAGAGAAAGAGAAGAGTAGTCATAAATTAGGAGACTCTGCTGCCATGTTATAGAAGGATTCCAAACCAACTGGGACTCCCCAAACCAAGTCATGTGGAGCTCATACTCTGCTGCTCTCTTGTTGTTTTAGTACCGGTGTATGGACACACACACACACACACACACACACACACACACACACCTGGTAGTCTAGTATACTGAATCCCAGACCAGAATCGCCTTTCTGCAGCTCATAAACTTGAATCTCATTCTCCCACATGGCCTGATGGGAAAGCATAGGAGCCTCTGTCCTCCATTCATCCTCTCTGTGTGCAGACGAGTTTTGCTCGGCCTGTGAGAAAAATTGGACAAGTCAGTATTATTTTGCAAAAAAAAATGAGTGGAATCATGTTTACTCATTTGAAAAAGGACAAAAGTATTAGCATTAATTCATTTCGTATACTTCAGTTTATTACATGTGAATTGGGAATTCTTTATTCTGATTCGGCATTCTGCAGTCAGTACCATTTTATGCTACTTAAGCAATGTTTTTTTTTGGTCATTTTTGGAGCTTGACTCATAAAAGATTAGCAAAAGTAAATTTTTATCATTTTTGTCCTTTTGTGTTACACAGAAGAAAAAGAGTGATATGAGTTTGAAACGACATGTGGGTGAGTAAATATCTTTGTTAAAAAGAAGTCCACTTTAGCAGAGTTTTAAAAAGAGTACTTACTACCTAAATAATATACTTGAGAAGAATATAATTTTATAACTAAATGCACTGTTTTCGGATCCATAATTGCATGATAATTGCAATTGATTGTAAATAAAAAATGATTCTAATTTGCATTTATATTAAATGCAGTTAGCTGAACTTTAGAGTTCTTATTGCTACTTTCAAGTAGGACTTACGTACATCTTTAAATGTAATTTCATAGCCTGAAACACGATTAAAGTGTACTGCCGAATGCACTAGAACGCATTTAAGGTAAATATACTTTAATGTCATTTCTATTGAAGCTTGTATGTAATTTATTTAAATATATTTGTAATTACACATTTGTAACAATGAAAGTCCAATTTAGTACATGTAAAATATAATAACATATAAGATTGTAATCAAGTATGTTACATGTGCTTTAGTATGTTAGTCAATAAGTGTACTTCTGTAACGCATGACAAAAGATTATTAAAACATAATGACTTAAATTGCACTTTCAACTATCAATTTGACATTATAACAAAGTGCACTTTTTAAAAGTGTACTTAAGTGTGTTAAGAAACATTATAATGAAAGAATATTCCCCTTAAGTACACTCCAAGTGCACACTGAATAGACTTCTAATAATGTGGGTAATGCTTTGCACAAACATTTAAAATTTCGTTTTATTTGTAATGATGCACAGACACACACAGGAAACCTTTTCATTAAATTCTGCTAGTAGCTCCTTGAGGGTGAGTTGTACATCGTCACCATCATCGTCATCTTCATCACTGGCTGTGGGTGGGACGAGACGACTGCAAACCACACAAACATTCACGGGAAGTTCCTTCAGCAAGCTCACAACTTCCTTGTGTGTCTCACCAATCAGAGAGAAGCCGTTCACCTACAAACAGAAAAAACACATCAACTCGCTTGCTCTGCTGAAACGATCCTCTGGGCTTTTCTACTGACAGGAAGGGCTATTTTTAAGTAGCTGTCGTGATTGATATTCATGTGCAGTCAGCACTGAATGAAGTGCTATGCATAAAAAACAGAATGCAGAAAGAAAGATGAGCGCGTTCGGTTATTATGCATGCATTTGTTAGCAGGGTTTATGATAAGGGATTACAACGGCGTAATCTATAAACAACAGTATTATCTGTGTGTAATGCTTGTTTGACTTTGAAGTATAACCAAACATAATTTCCACTCTAAATAAATTCTAATGTTTGTGTTTGTAAGGATATGTGAGATAATCTACATGAGTATGTGGACAGCCCTTTTTAATTATAATATGAAGTGAACCTCTAGCAGTTCGTCTCCAGGATGAACGATTCCCGTCTGTCCGATCGGACCTTCTGGCAGTATAGAGCAGATATAGTGATGACCTTCCTTAGCCTCCAAACTCACACCAAGACCACTGCTCTCAGTCAATTTCTGTACCTGGGCCACCTGCACACACACACACACACACACACACACACACACACACACACACACACACACACACAAACACACAGTAAATATAAATGCATTTGCATATAAATATATTGATATACAAATATACAGTAGACATGCGCATACATCAAAAACAGGCATATAAAGAGACACATACTGAATGTAAACATATGCTGACACACACACACTCACAAATCTCTGTCATGGAAAATAACTGCTAGCTAAACAGGAGAGAATGCAGATGAGACGCACCATGATTTCATATTGAGGACCCAGTTTGCGTTGCCACTTCTCCTTCAATATTTCCTCTTCACCAGACAGTTTGCAAACTAAAACAAAATTTCACGTCACACAGCTCATAAATAAATGACAACATGACTGAGGAGAATCGACTACAAAAGACAATGTATGTTTTCATCATATTAGTTACATAGTGATAGAGTCAGGATTTAAATATCTACTGTATGTTAGAAATCATCAAGCAAACTAAAGAAACCTTAAAGGAATATTCTGGGTTATTTACAGCTCAATGGACAGTATTTGAGACACGATGTTGATTACCATTGACTGGACATTCGGGAAAGAAACTGCAAATGTAAATAATAAAATGCTAACAATGTAATGGAGTACAGTTAGGATGGGAAAATAAATAGGATTATTAACTTTTAAAAGGATAAACTTTAAAAAAAAAAATAAAATGCTTGTCATATTTTGATGTCAAATGAATACAGTATTTTGGCATTAAAGCATTTATCTGTTACTGATGCTGATTTGACAGCTGTCGAAACGTACAAAAACTATTCAAGGTAAAATACTACATTAAACACAAGTTAAAGGAATAGTTCACCCAAAAATGAAAATTTGCTCACCCTCAGACCATCCAAAATGTAGATGTGTTTGTTTCTCCATCGGAACAGATTTAGCATTGCATCACTTGCTCACCAATGGATGCTCTGCAGTGAATGGGTGCCGTCAGAATGAGAGTCCAAACAGCTGATAAAAACATCACAATAATCCACAAGTAATCTGCACCACTCCAGTCAACCAGTTAATGTCTTGTGAAGTCAAAAACTGCATGTTTGTAACTTTAAACCATCGGTTTTGACCACAATATTAGTCTAAAATAACGCTTGCTCCAGTGAAAAAGTCCATCTCCTGTTGTCCTTCACATTAAAATCCACCTACATATTTGTTTAGAACTGTTTTTGCCTGTAAACGGTGCTTGTTCCTGATTCAGACCAGACCACTTTTTCACAGGAGAAAGCAATATTATGGATAGAGGACTCATATATTAGCTGGAAACAACAGTTTGAAGTTAAAAAAACATCTTAATGATGGATTTATTTATTACAAACATGCAGATTTTCACTTCACAAGATGTTAACTGATGGACTGGAGTTGTATGGATTACTTGTGGATTATTGTGATGTTTTTATCAGTTGTTTGGACTCTTATTCTGACGGCACCCATTCACTGCAGAGCATCCATTGCTGAGCAAGGGTTGTAATGATTCATTTCTGATAAATTAAAATTCTCTTCAAGCAATGCTTAAATCACAATTATATCAGTATATTATAGTAGATGTTTTACTCGTACACTAACAAACCTGAGGAACTAGTCAAAATGAGTGACTGTGATAATCAATTAGTCTATAGACATTGAACTGTAAATATGCTAGAACACAATGTTTTCTGTTCTTACATGAAGACTGGTTTCTGTTCTCCATGTTGGACTCTAAATAACAGCTTCGCCTTGACTCAACTGAGGTCACAGAAAGAACAAACAGAAACAGAAGCAGTTATTAAAATCAAAGTAGGGTCAAAGAGTTACTAAGACTTCACACAGAGAACAGGCCAAAGTGAAACAGAGCTCATGAATCAAACACAGTGTGAATGAGTGTAAATAAACCAAAGTGACAAGAGTTTCACTAACTGCACTCTCTGTTGAAGTTGAGGTCCCGGCGTTCAGTGTAGAAAACTTTCCCTGGGGGCAGGACTGGCTTTGGCTCTGGCAGACATGCAGGCAGCGGAGGGGGAAGGAGCCCCAGAAGGGTTGAGGGTCTCTGAGAGATTGTGGACGTTGTGGGGGTTGTCTGTGTTCCAGATGGTGAGCCCTTTCTCTGAAGAGAGATCTCCACTTGTTGGCCAGTCGTGTGCAGAATCTCCTCCGCTTTCTGTTTCTGACCATCCACCTAAACCCCCCCTCCCCGCCCAAATAGTTATTTAACAATTAAATAATAGGTCTATATTAATAAAACTAATAATAATATTATTCAAATGATTCATGTTCAGATATTTGTCTTTTTTTTTTTTTTTCCAAACAACTTCAATGAAAAGAGTCCTAGAATGTGAAGGTTAAGTTCTCATGTATTATTCAAACCAAAGAAGTGTGAAACCTGTAATTTGTCACTCAAAAATATTATTCCCAGTTATTGTAGTCAAGGTTATTGCTGGCTCAACCCTCATGCTCTTCAGCTTTAAGCTAATAATTTCCTATCTTTTAATAAGTACCTCTGACCCAATCAAAACCCAGAAGTCAGATATTACTGTATCTTTAAAGATGAGCAATACCACTTATTTTCTGTTCAATCCAATATCACGTTCTATAGGAGCCTATAATGCAGACACAGTACATTTAAATGGAAAATACTTGCGATTTTTAAGGATAAAACGGTAATTATATTTGAAAGCCATCTTTGATCATTTAATGGGTCTAAACTGCTAATGATCAGGCTTCTGTGTTAGCATATCATTAATAACAATTGATCATAACTGATTTTTCACTAAAAACTCATTATAATATAACATTATAACTATTATAGTGTCACATTTAGCTTCATCTTTATTTAGTGTGAAATAGCACCAGATGATGTCTGTGCTTGTGTCTTTCAGGATTTCTGTGTGTTAAGATAAATAGTTCCAAAGCTTAAGAACCATATGCTAACACAGTTCATTTTTTCACTTCAAAGCTTATGTTGCGCATTGATTTTCATGCTAAATAACTCTTGCTTCAACATCAATACTGAAAATATTGATGCGTCATGAACGATTTGGCCATCCATAGACACGTTATCCTGCTGTTTTACCACAAAGCAAGCATGCATTTTTCAGAAATGTTCCTAGTATACACTGTATTGTTCGTGGTCATTTTGACCCTGGCAAAAAATACAATAAAATAAATGACACTAAAAATCTGACAGAAGTGTATTTCCTCAGTGTGTACAACAGAATCTCATCATGTGAAAAGTCATTGCATTATTTAATGTTTTATATCTGAGGTCTCTAAAACTCCAAACACAATGAATGCAAAACTTTCCATCGTTTGAAGTGTATTATGAAGCAAGCTGAAAATCTCTTTAAAATAAGCTCTCATTAGAAAAGTCATGAAGTATTAACCTGATACTTCAATGTTAAGAGCTTTTTCGAGCCTGGGGTCTCTGAAACCCCAAACAGAACACTAGGGTTGGACTGATGACACATTTACACAAATGCAAACACAAAACAAGCAACAATGTAATTAATCATACATAGCACTACTAAAACAAACGCTACAGTGTAAACGGGCTTCCCACGCACATACACAAACACAACAGAAGCAACAACAGGATTAATAATTGCTATAACATCATTTTAATCTGAAAACTGAAAATGAATAAAGAAGCAATAAATTGCTTAAAAGCATTAGAACTGCTGTTTAACTTTACATGCACACACAAGGAAGGTAAACAGATGTAATTCTCGAAAGATGTAACAAAATAAAGGTCTGTGATTTGGACTCACAGCAATAATGTGATCTCCGGTGTGAATTTGTCCATCCTGATTCACTGCATTTCCTTTCAGTATGCTCTTTATTTCAAACCCGCTGGACTCTAAAACACCCAATATTCATTTAATGTTTCACGTTTAACATTCTTAGACTGAATGGGAAAATAATCTGAAAGAAAACAGTAAGAAATCATACCTTTGTCCAGGTTATCCAGAGATTTGGAGATGTTGATGCCTAAACTGTTCTTGTTGTTTCTGAATCTGACACCGAACTCTTTTTCCCTTTTCTCTACTAAACCCTGCAGAGGGATAATGCTTTGTTTATTATTGGCTCACCAAATTTTAACTTTTTTGTATCTTAAAAGACATAATACAGCGGCATTTATGATTATAATACGTAATCAAGATAAAGAACTTAGAAAGTGTGAATAAATGTAAAATTTGACAACAAACACTATCTCTTTGCATTACATTGACTCTCTCACTTAACCACAAACTCCTTGTGTGTTAATGTCAATGTCAATCAATGTTTGTTGTAATTTTATCACAATAACTGAGTGTGTTTAAGGAATAGTTTTAATTCAATTTGTTTTAGGTGTACATTTTGTCATGTTTCACCTTCAGTTCATTCCAAACCTGTATGATAATTAAAAAGATAATTTAGGCTATTATATTTTTATATTTATCGTCTGCCATAATATCGTAATTGTTGTTTTAACGATGTGTGAGCTGCCATTATCGAGCATGTATGAGTATATGCAACAAAACAAACAAAAACATGTCTTGACAGTCCACAAGCATTCACTGCATGATGAAGCATTTTTAGAATGCAGTTAGAATGACCCTATAATTCAAGTTATGGAAGAAAAAAATCCTTGTATGTTTTTTAATATATATATATATGTATATTTATGATATAATATAGTTGAGTAATATCACACAAGCAAGAGTGCCGTTTTCCCAAAAATCAGCACATGAGCACGATCACAAATGTTGTATTGCAATTACACAACAGCTCGACAAACTAGAAGTTAACATTGAATGAGTTACATTTTAGACACAATATTGTCTGTTTTTCAGTTTCAATCAAAGTCAGATCAGAACACGTGTGTGTCTCTGAGCAACACTACGGTGCTTTGTTCCTGAATTAATCTGTTTTTGAATGAATAATTTGAGTCAATGATTCAATGATCCATTCATAAAGACAGTCACTTGCTTTATTTCTAAATGAATCAGATGTTTTGAACAAACCGTTTGAATGAATGATTCAATGAATCACTCATTAAGACAAGGACTTTCTGCCACCTACTGGCGGTTTTAGTGTCATATTTATTTTTTCATGACAGGCCTAAACCGAGATGGTACTCACTGCAGAACACAAGTTCCAGGGGGCGTGGTTGGATCCAGATCCAACTCCTCCCACCTTACATATACCTAAACCTACCCGTCTCCACCCCCTGATCCCTAAACCCACCCATCTCCACCCCTAAACCTACCAATCACCACCCTTTGGATCTTGTGTTCTGCAGTGAGGGGCTACTGCCTAAACCAGCCTAAGTACCAGCACAAAAACACACTCAGAAAAATATTGTTTAATTATCATTATCGAAAGAAATCCCCAAAAATATCAAGATATAATTTTTTGGTCAATATCGCACACCCCTAATATGAACACACACACACACACACACATAGAGGATCAGAAGCATTTTGCACCTGTTTCTTCTGAGTGTCCTGTTGCTGGGCGATGGAAGGTGAGAGGTCACCATCAGTGGTTTCCCTGGCAATGATAAGTCTCACACGGGAACCAGCAAGACGGAGCTCACGTGCCACTTCCTCACTGCCCATGGTGGACACGTCCACACCACCGATTCTGAGGAGAAGATCACCACTACGCAATCTCCCGTCCTGTGTGCACACGTCAAGGCATTTGCCACTCTTCTTAATTTGAATCAGTTTGTACAATTCAAAAACATAATAATAACTGAAATGACAGTGAACCCATGATGATCTCTCATACCCTTCCAGCTACACCATCAGGTAGGATGGTTTTTACCATGGTGCCAGTACTCCTCCCTCCAACGATGCCGAAGCCCAGACCCGATCCGTCATTCTGCAGCTCAATATGATGAATTTGTCGAGGCTGTGGAATCAAATTCAACGAGTGGAATAATCCTAATTACAATGCAAGAGAGACTGGGGCTAGTTGTCAAACTTACTACAGTGAATATTTCTCAGGGTAAGTTTATTTTTAAAATGTCTAAAATAGTCAAAAAATGAAACAAATCTTTTCATGAAACAGCAAAAATTGTACAAAATACCATAACAAATACTGTAAAATGCTGGATGTATTAAAGCATCTGAGAATATATATATATATATATATATATATATATTGAAAAGAAAGTTCAAATTTATTTGAAATAGAAATGTTTTGTAACATTGTAAATGTCTTGTTACTTTTCAATTTCTTTTACGATCAATTTTACTAATCCCCAAATTTGTATTGGATTTTTACATCACTTGTTTTTAAATTTTAAATGTTTATTATTTAAAAAAAAAAAAAGATCATGTTTCCTGAATTTTGTTTATACACAATATAGTATTATTACCGTTGACAGTGATTTGAGATTTTAAAAAAGGCTAAAACTAAAGTGCACAAGGATCAGTAAAGGTAAACACCGAAAAATTGGAACCAAAATTGGTAAACACCAAAAAAATTGAAATTTTTCTCCACCAAAAAATGATATTCCTAGATCTTTGAACCCCATTTATACACTACTATTCAAATGTTTCAGGGTAAGTATGTTTTTCCAAAGAAATTCATACTTTTATTTAGTATTAAGAATGCATTAAATTGATCAAAAGTGACAGTAAAGACACTGAACACTGAAGGCAGGAGTAATGGCTGTAAATATATTTCATAATATTACCGTTTTTACCATATTATTGATCAAATAAATGCAGCCTTGGTGAGCATGAGAGATTTCGTCTGACCAACCCCATTCTTCTGAACAGTGGTGTATTATAATAGTCTTGCTAATAGGAGAAGGCTCAATTGTATCGCCACCATTACCAGGAAATCCTCTGCTTTCTTTCACTCTGCTTTCACAACAACCACCAAACCTAAAACCTCACATAAAAAGCTAATGTATAACATTTAAAATGTTAGATGTACTGCACTTGTGGTAATGTAATCAAATGACTGTGGATCAATATCAGATTTAAGCTGCATGGTAAAGTGGGGCAGCTATACGGCATAAGACATTACAGTATAAGATATGAGGCAAAATATGAGCTCGGAGACACTTCAGGGGCATATTACAAAGTCCATTTTACACATTTTTACAAGTATATTTTGGGAACTTTAAGAGATGTAGGCTAATGAATATAAAAATAAAGTTTTTTTAAGGAGACTTACACTGAATTCATGATAAAGGCCAGAGATTTTTGGGAAGAGTGTGGCTCACCTGTGGGGGGCTGAATGATGGGGCTGGTTCCCTGGCTATAATTAAGGTTACCACAGAAGCAGCTTCCAGAAGAACCTGGACAGCTTGTTCCTGTGTTACAGAGGATTCAAACGGCTTGCCATTCACTGCTAGAATCTGATCACCCTCATGCAGACGTCCATCACTAAGTAAAGAAAGGTTTCAAATCAATTTATGCACTTGTCTAGAATAACACACTTTAATCAATTAAGTTTTGCTACATCATACTTAAATCCTTATCAGTTTATACCTGTGTGCTACAGAGTCCGGCTGGATCTTCTGTATGAAGATACCAAGACCTCCACAGCCTTCAGTCTCCATTCCAACAATGCTGATGCCTAAAGCACTTTCACCCTTGTCCAGGTCAAAACTAAGCACAGACCGACCCTGAAAGAGCAGTAAATACATGAGATAAGAAAGAATGGATTCAAACTGTTGGTTTTAGGACATGTAGTTCTGAAATGACAGTATGTCTGAAAGCTTGCATGATCAGTATGTTACAGGACATGTATCTCAGTTTGTTTAAAGGTCTTGGTATGGTGGTACCTGGGCCATGGACTGCAGCAGTGAAATGTCCTCTGTGATGCAAGGGTCAAAAGTCGCATGATTGGAGGATTGACATCGGTCATTGCGCCGCTGGGCTGAGAGGTAGGAGTCTCTGTACCTCAGAGTGCATGAGGGGTGGGATGTGCTCACAACATCTGCATCATCACTCAATGACTGAGACAGAGGCATTCTGGGAAAAACCTGTACAAACACACAGCTAGAGTAATGTAGGTAGCTGGGTTGCACTAGCCATTTGTAAGGCCTCACTGGGATGTTAAAGACAAGATTTAGTTTTAGCCCTTTATTTACGGTAATCCCATGTCACTATCAACAGTGATAATAGAGTATAAACACAACACAAAACAGGGAACAATAGAGAAAAATGATCATAAATAGTTTTTTTTTAGGTTTAAACAATAAACATTTACATTTAAAAAACAATGTTGCGGTCAGTAAAATAGATCAAAAGTAACAGCTATACAAAAGACATATATAATGTCACAAAAGATTTCTATTTGACACAAATGCCTTTCTATCAAAGATTCTTAAAAAAAAAAAAAAAAAAAAAAGATGGTTTCCACACCAAAATATTAAGCAGCAACTGTTTTCAGCATTTATAATCAGAAATGTTTCTTAAGCAGCAAATCAGCATATTAGAATGATTTCTGAAGGATCATGTGACACTGAAGCCTGGAGTAATGATGCTGAAAATTCAGCTTTGATCACAGAAATAAATGATATTTTACAATATATTACAATAGAAATTAGTTATTTTAAATTGTAATGATATTTTACAATATTACTGTTTTTACTGTATTTTTGATCAAATAAATGCAGTCTGCCAACCGACCGTTTATTCCAACTTGGTCAAAATATTCTTGGGTATATATTCAGTTTAAAAGAGGGGTTATATTTCAACGTTTCAAGTTTAATGGTGCAATGCACAGATATTTAGTAGGGTACAAGCCAAGGCCATTGCTAAAATTGATTAAAATCAGTGTGCTTTTTTTTTTTTTGAGTATCTCACTTTCTATTATTTTCTATATTCTCTCTATAGCAGTCAGGTTTAACATACTAAATTATCTTAATGAAATTATAAAAATGCAAAAAGGTTCTACAAAGATCAGGTTTAGGGATAGGAAAAAAACCATACTTAGCTCACTATAAAAACAACAAAAGTCAATGGAAAGTCCCCACCATTACAGGAAGGTGTGTGTGACTTGCTGACCCCTGCTTCTCTCTCGTTTCAGCACAGATTAAGCGGTCAGCTCAGGTAAGTAGCTTATACAACCTCAGTTTGGTGCTCGCTGCTGTTTTCAAAGAATCGTCTCTCTAAATGCATCACACACAATATACACAGAAGCACTTACCATTGATGTGGAACACAATCAGACCTCTCCTTACAAATAGTGTTCAAATATACAAATCTATATTTGATTTAGAATGCTCATCTGAATACATTGTATATTTGGTTAAAACATAAGTATAAATTATGAACCAAATTTATTCAGCTAATTTAATGCATTAAAATAATATTCATGCTGATTTTTTCCTGATGAACTTTGTATCAGAAGACAAATTATACTTTTATTGAATATGCTACTTTCATTGAGCTCTTGAGGAGAGACAGTTTCTGAATGAATTATTGAATAAATGAATTGTTTGGCAACCAAAACCTTTCTAAATTCTATTTTAGAAAGATGACAAAACTAGTGAATAAAAAAGGTCTATCATGGCTGACCATATGCCACAACAGCAGGCAAACAGCACAGCTGGCAATTCTGTTTTTATTCCTGCTCATTGAAACCTATAATTAAAATAAGTGCTTGAAGTATGACCAAAGTAATCAACTATTTTCCTTTATATGTAAAGTTCTCATTACGTTTGTTGCCAAACACGTGGCTGAGAAAACCAGCCTATTACATTACAGAATGCAGACAGGAAATGATAAGATTGATTAAAGAATGACTCATATAAACAACTTATGCTAATGATTATCCATGGCATGTGGCCTGACCAATACACAATGCGCAGCAAGAGGATAATCTGATATATAGTTTTGCTGAAGCAGCTACATCTCATGGCATATTAGCAAACCCATAAACATGCGATTTTTCATGACAAACAGCCAGTTTAGTGCTTCGTTTACTGGAGTCGCGCATCTGGCGCCTGCTGCTCCTCTCATTTCAGCCTGCTAGAAGATTCTAACACAATCAGTTGTGGTTGTACCAAATAAATCTGAATGTAACATCCACGGTGTCTATTTTTTGATGGTATCTGAGGAGCTAAATTACCTGAGCTGCTCTTTGAAAGCTTGGGATAACACAGGCCATTTACAAGAGAACATTTCCCATCATTACCTTGCACCATAACACACACACACACACACACACACACACACACACACACACACACAACTCAAATACTGTGAACCCAGACCACCTTTGAGACTCTTTCACCTAGTATCCTTGAATAACCTCTCACGCCTCCCACTCATATCTGCTGGGCTTCTCTGACCTCTTTATGCTCTGCAAATGTAGTCCTCTGGGTCAATGTGGTTATACACTTGCACAGTTAAAGTCAAATGTCAAATACAAGCTCAACTTGAAATTCAATGCATGCAACTATTTTTACAGGAATATATTCAGTGGAATATCCAATACAAGTTAGACTCAGTTGACAGCATTTATGGCATAAAGTTTATTACCACAACAAAAAATTTCAACTTATCCCTTGTTTTGTTAAGATAAGCAAAAATCAGGGTTACAATGGAGCACTTACAATGGAAATGAATGGGGCCAATTTTTGGAGGTTGTAAAAGCAGAAAAGTGAATCTTTCTAATTTTATAAAAGCATTTATAGAATATGTTAAGGGTGCAGGTTACACTTACTGTACCTTTGTACAGTGAAATTCTGCTGGCAGTCATTTAAATAATAATCTGTGCTATTTGGAATTTTGTGCAATTGTAGATTTTGCAACTAATGCATGTTTGCTAAATTTTGAACATCCAAATTGCACGCTGTGATCAATATAAAGCTGTTTAGCTCGGAAGTGACCTCAGATTTAGCTGTGCTTCATGCATCACTATTGATAATGGACAACAAACCTTCTAAGATCACTCTTCTGTGACTCTTCTGTTTATTATTTGTAAAGCTGACAAAGCTGTAAAATTAGGTATAACTTTACACAGTGTTTTTTTTTTCCATGCAAAAATCACATTAACATGTGTATTGTTTATATCTTGAGGCTTTACTATTGAAACAGCAAGCATATTAAATTAATGTTAATGGATTGGCCCCATTCACCTTCATTTAACTTAGACTTTTTCTGTTTTAAAGCAAACGAGGGACAACATTATGCCACAACTGTTGTCAGTTCAACTTGACTTGTACTGAATCCAAAAAAGTCCTTTAAGAAAGGTTTGTCTCATGTTTTATTTCATCTAATAATAGAAACTGAAAAAAGGTCTGTTTGCATCAGTGAATATCTGAAATGATGCTCCCTGGGTATATAATTGCTTTATAAAATATACCTGCATGTAAATTTCAATTTCAACAGTTGTGGAGTTGGATATCAGCATACTTTTGTTCAATACATTTCACATCAGCACTTCACAAGATCAGTTCTGATGGTAATGACAGAAATATGCCATATAATGAATCTAGCTGTGTCATGTCATAAATATGGAAGTATCAGCCAGTATGATTTTATTTTTAAATTTGACATAGTCATAAGAACTTTATTTACACTGTTTAATTGAATAAATGTATTAAAAATAAAACACTAGGCTATATAATGGAAAAGCACACTATTGTTTTGATGTCTTTTTGTGTCAGTGTATGCCATTTTTATTTTTTGGTCATGCAGTATAATGATGATGTTATTCGTCTCTGACCTGTTGTTGCTGATGCTGTTGTTCGGTGTCTTGCATGATGAGTATCTGGTGAAACAGGGGACTCTGTAAGACACTCTTGAGCAGACTGAGTTTTTCCTCAGCAGGCAGTTCTCCCTTCTTCTTCAGCCTCTCCTGCAGCCGCTCCACTGCCAGCAAAGCACGCTGTGTGTCTATACACACACATACACATAAATATATTAATAACACGGGCACATGCAGTGACATCAGCTCATATCCCACATGAGAGTGCATACAACAATCTGCATGCCATAGGCACATTAACTCACAAATATGTTATTATCATAAGTTGTGAAAGACATATTGTGACACACATGACGGCTAAAAATAATATTGTGTTAAGACTTCCTACATACCCATCATCTTCAACTCTTTGGGTACTGAATTACCAGCACTCTCTTTCTGACATCTGCAACAACGCAAGCAAGTTCATATCAGGGCCATCAGACATAATGACAATCAAACTCTTGAACATATTTAAGATACAAAACAACACACAGATTTGTCCCTTTCTCATCCTACTCAAGTAATCACTAACTGGCATGCACACCTGACAGTCCTTACGTGTGACAGCGACGGTGACGTTTGGCATGAAGTGAGAGTGACGCCTCTGTAACCGACGACAGGCTTTATGAATTGCACTGACGGTTCACTTCACATCTCACCGATCGCTCTGATAACGCCTGCTGTAATCTGTTATTCATGCTGATGTAATCTGGGTGGGAGACTCGCACCTCTACGGACTGCGCGAGCGCTCGTGTTTGCGCTGCGCTGCTCCGGTAATGCGTTTACCGGTCAGGCTTAGTAGATGTAAACGGACTTAAACTGTGAACGACGGTAATTACCCGGGACAGATGTCCTTACAGCCTACCTGATAGAGATGTAAGCGCCTGGCGGTGGGCGGTGTTGCGGACAACAATAGTAACTAAGGGAAAACAAAGCAGGAGGGTTATTTTAAACGGGCGAAGCTGATAGATGTGTAAATACGAAAATAAATATGTAAATAGGTTCTGAACCATGGGGCCTCAGCACACCACCAAGGGGGTCGCAAGATTTAAAATAGCCTAAGTCATATCCAACGATCTTGGAATCATATTAGGAGTGCATCAATTAATTGTCAAGTGTGCAAGTTGTTTCTTATTTTCGGTTTTCAACATATATATCAAGGGTGCGAATTGTGGGGTATAGGAGCCCCAAAGGAGGTAAAAAGGTTTACGTTTCAGTAACCACAAAAGTTATTTTACAAGTTAGAGTGTGCTGGAAGGAGTAGCCATAGCAACAGATGCTCGATCGCTGTCTGCATCGGATGCTTCATAGAAAAACTGTAGCTGTCAATATTTATCAAGTAATTATAGATTTACAACTCACAATAATATATCACAAAAATTGTTTAAAACGTCTTTAAGATAGTTGAGAGACGCATTGCTACTTAAACCTAAAAATAGATGACAACATTAGGTTATTAATATGTGTTGTCCATCATAATCTAATAAATGGAGCTCATGATGCATAGGCTAATTGCGATTTTAAAACAAGTAAGGACAGCAAAAACAGTTTACTAAAATAAATCCGATAGCTAAATAAAATCAGCATGTTATGGTTCAGGTGTAACTGACAGCTGCGATGCCGTTTCTTTCTATCAGTCTTCATGCGTTAGGTTCTCACGCTGTAGCTACCGTAAGGATCAATAAAAGCTGATTTCCTCACTCCACATTTACCTTCAGATCAACAGGTTTCCCCCGCAGCTCATGAGAAACTGATCGTCTCGTCTCATCGGATGATGAAAAGCTGGGGCTCAATTTGAAACATTTTCAAATGTCGCAAGTCGCATTAGAGACAGCTAGCCCGCATTATTCAGACAGCCCAGGGTTTGCGCGAGAGTGATAACTGGCTGTCACTCACCGCGCATGTCCACGATGCGCCTCTGATGCTCGTGAGTGTAATGGATGCTCAGGCCTCTCACCCCTCGTTAAATGATAACAGAGTCATCAGCTCTTATTACTGCTGCTCATGAGACATTTAAATTAGTGTATGTCCACAAATTATAATTTGCCAATGTGATATTTTCTATTATGCCTTAATATGTCCTTATTACAATAGGCCAGTAAAAATGTTCCTTTGCATCCCTCATATAGCATGATATATCCAACATATCTGTAAACGATAAAAGCTGATTTTATCGTTTATTTTATCGTTTATTTCTTTTAGTTTATCTTTAAACTAAAAGAAGCTTAGTTCGAAGACCTCCTCGTGTGAAGACCGAAGAGTGTAAAGACCATCGACTCTACCGTGCGACTCCACCGGGCAGGACACCGACAAAGGACATAAGCATCGCTTTTTATCTCTCCTCTTTCCACTTCTGTTTCAGGTTTTTATAAACTATTTCCTACTATGTGTCAGTAAGTTGTTGTTATTTTATCATGTGTGTTTGCCTCAGTGTTATTTTTTTTAGGATTACTGATGAACTAATGTACTTTGATTTGTATTAGTTATCTATTTTAGTTTTAGTTACAGTTGTAGTAATGTTGTCATTTTATTCGTTTTTTATTATGTCTATATAGGCTTTTTATTAAGTTTTACTTTTATTTAATTTGAGTTATTTCAGTACTTCAACATACAAAATGGAAATGAAATAATATATATATATATATATTGAATATTTATATATATGTACATGTATATGTATATGTATATGTGTGTGGCTGTACATACACATATGTAGTTGTTTTTTGGTGTTTGGCTTAGTGTTATGTTAGAATCATTATTATACTCATACCTTTTGTTCTTTTAATATTTTGAAT